ACGGGGGCCGATCCCCCCCCCACTTGGTGACATTTAGAGAGCCCAGCTGACCGTCTGATAGCCATGGCAACCCACCACCACGAACAACAGTTGAATTCCCCCCCTCCAGCTTCCCTGAAAGGTTCTGTTAACATCTTCCCATTAGTCCAGAAGCTCGATTAAGTGCATCCACCCACGTATTCGTTATTCGGCATGGCGATGCGCGGAATATTGATGGTGCTGGCTGCCTGGCCGGCTGGCTGGCTGTCTACAGCCGTGCACAATTAAATGCGTCTTTATCATCTAGACAGACAGGGAGAGAGAGAGAGCGTAGGAGACATAGATACACCGATATGGGGAGCCGTGATAGAGGGGGAGGGGAGGTAGTCGAAGAGCTTGATGCACGGGCTGGAGAGGGATTACATTTCTCGCAATTTGTACAGTTTCTGATGACCGAATTTCTTGCAGGAAATTCTAGTAGTAATAGTCTATAGAATGCAAAAGCGACCGTTCATGTTCGTTTGGAATGCACATGACTGGCTGTGGACATTCAGTATATTTAAACGTTGTTAAGAGACTGAGGAACGCAAGTTGAGGCCCTAGGTAGTGCAGACAATGGCTCGGGGAGGTGGCAATTCGACTACTTCATTAGGAACAGCTGATAATTTGAGTGTTGTTAGGAGAGCAGACCCGTGAAGTGGAGTAAAAAAGGAATCTATGAAGTCTCTTTTTCTATGGAACCAACTTCATTCCGTCGTTTATCCGAGCTCTACTTCGGTTGTTCAAAGATTACTCTCAGCTCAATGGACTGCAAGTCTTATCCCATCGGCTAATGAATCAGAGTTCAATTAAATATTTCACCCGCATCCAGTGGCTTGCGCAAGTCTCTAGAGTATAGTAGCAAGTGTTATCTTAAATATTTGTTGTCTATATATTGAGGAACGTTTTTTCTAGCGTCACGATGTCCAGAAAGATATTTTTAAATTCACGTCATGTCCGTGACACTGGCCGGTCTTATTACGTAGTCTTCCTGTTTCTGTTGACAGAACAAAGCAATGTTATCGTAGTCGATAAGGAACAACTAACACAGTTCATCGGGATATCTAATTAGGCTTTATTGAAATAAACAATTTTAATCTCTCAGATTACAAAGGCACTGATACGCTACTGATCGTTGCTGTCCTTGTGATATCGAATTTCCGCAAATTGTTCTCGATAAAGCCCGCTCTCGGGTTGCCGAATGGCAACAATACACATACTATGCACAACCTATGTCACTGTTTCTAATCAGTGCCTAGGAAAGTGGGCTGGATGGATTCTGAGTTTCTAGAAATGAATGGACTTTTGTCCAGGAAGGTTATTTTCCATAATCGCCTAGGTATGATTGTGATTTAAAAAAATATATACTGGATTTGGAACTCTGCATTCATACTGATAAACTGTGTCAGTAAGTAGCAGTGGCTCAGGCTTCAGATGTCGGATATCTGAGGGATCACTGATTTAAGCTCATCTCAAGACTGTTTTCTGGTATAAAAGTTCTGTCAACTAATGTGTAAATATCTGGCAAAGAATATGCATCGAAGTGACACCGAGAGAAAACGTTTTTCTATACAAGTTAAGCCTACACTTAGTTTTCCTCTCGTCTTATTTTAATTTAGCAACCCCGTCAAAAGTTCACACAGCTAATTCAAATGTGCACTTTAGTTACACGACCTCGAAATTCGCGCGCGGTGGATTAATTAGCACTCCAAGGTGGGACCGGAGGCCAAAGCGACGACGGGCAATCTGACTGTCATTTGCACACGGCTGCCTGCCTACGGGCCGTGTTCACTTACATATGTGCTACACTG